GGGTGAGCATGGCCGAGCATGATCCTCATCAGGTGGACCTCGCACGCCTCGTACAGGCGCCTCTGGTCCGCGGGAAAGCGCTCGTACTCGGCGCTCAGGCGGCTGCTGTGCTCGTAACGGTGCATGCTTTTCGCCTGGGCCCAGCAGCCGCGCCTCCGAATCTCCTCTAGGCTGCGAGTGCGTCTGCTGGCGTCGATGCTCGCGCCTGAGTGGCGGAGTTGGTACAGTGTCAGTTTGCCAGCCCCGATCTCGGCCGCCGCTAGCTGCACCGCTTGCGAGAGCTCCAGGTACGTGAAGGGCCACAGCTTGGTCCTGTCTCCGTGCCCTCGGAGCTCGGCGAACAGCGGACCCAGCCCCCGAAGGTAGCTCGAGTCCAGGAGGCAGCCCTCGTCGTAGCGATTCGTCTTGCTCGGTCGGCCCTCCTCCTCTGGGTGCGTTAGGAGGCTCCAGCTGTCCACTGTAGCACGCGAAGGCGGGACCAGGTCGCACTTCCGAGCTGCCAGCAGAGAAGAGGGCCTCGAGTAGGCAGAGAGGCCTACGGCGAGGAACAGGGCCATGAATGGGAGGCCCTTGTCCACCAGACGCCACATCACTGCCGACCACACGGCGAGCGGCAGCGCTCGGCGGGTGCGCGAGGGCGTCAGCCGCCTCCACGCCTTGAGCGCTCGCCACGTCCGCGGCAAGGCTCTTCCACCCCGTCGGCCAAAGGCCGGGTGTCGGTCGATGAGGGCGGCACCAGTCTGGTCTCCCAGGCTGCTCTGCTCCCCGGACAGGTACATCGCGGTGAAGTAGTCGCACACCCAACGATCCACGGTCTCGTCCGAGCTCCTCACGAGCTCGTCGTCGGTCAGGTCGGCATGCAAGTAGAAACGATCGAGATATTTGGCATAGCGTTTCCTCGCCCGGCGAGTCACTGCCAGTCGCTCCAGCAAGGTGGGCCCGCCAGCTGCGGTCTGCATAATCATGTCCGTGTAAAGTGCCGCACGGCGCCGGCGTCGGGAGTCCTGGAGGCGCCGAGACCTCCTTGCGGCCGCAGTCGCGTGGTTCACTAAGCTGTCGGACCCACTCGACTCGTCTCCCTCCCCGGCGCCCGCCACGTCGTCGCCGGCGTCGTCCGCGGGAGCGAGGTCCTCGAGCGTCACAGAGGGCGGCGCCGGCGTCTGGCGAGGGCGGCTCTCCATGCGTGCCTTGACCGAGCGGGCGCCAGGGCCCCCAGTCCTCGCGACGGGGCGGGCTCTGGGACCGCACGTGTCCGTCGCCACCTGGGGCCTCTCCAGCACTCTCGACCTCGCCTTCACTGTCGGCGGATCTCTCCGGCAGGGCGGCGGGCCGACGCCAGGCCGCGGCAGAACCCGCGACGACGCCGGGGGACTCGCCCGCGGTGGCGCCCGCGGCGGCCGCAGAGCCCGCGCGCGCATCCGTCGGGACAGACTCTTCGGGGACGGAAGCGAGGAGGGCCTGACTACAGTAAGAGCCGAAATGACTACGGAGGGGAGAGAGAGAAGGAGGAGCAGAGATCCTAACCTGCTGATCCAGGACATCGGTTAGCAACTTGGACGAAACTTCTGAGTGATCCCGGCTCCCGGCATCGCTCTGGTTAAACTCCGAGGGGATCCACCTAAAATACGGGGCGATGCCAAGGGCAAGGGCATAGGCGTTGAAGCGCCGAATCTGAACTAGGAGCTTGAAGTCCTGACTTCGCGAGCGAGCGAAAGCAAGAACGACGGCCATGTTGTCACACAAGAAAAGCTGTCTGATGCAGGGCCCATATCTGGTCCTGGCGAGCCTACGGATGGCCTTCACTAAGGCCCGGGCCTCCAGCACCAGAATGCCCTCGCTAAGGCCCCAGACCCCCTTCCGGACGGTTTTCCAGGCCGAGCCTCGGAGGAGCTGCCAGGGGACTTCGGGAAAATCCGCCACGACCTCCCAGTCGTCTAGCTGAGGCTCGTCTCCCAAAAGTTGGCTTCTCCACTCGCCTGACTCGTCGCGGAAGAGGTGGGCCGAGGTGAGCGCGGATTCCCGAGCGGAGTGAGCCCCGACGCGCTTGAAACGGGAACGCTCACTGACACGACCGACGCTGGCGACCTGGGACGGCTCCCAGAAGCTTTGGGCCATCGCCCAGCCCGCTAGGCTGGCGTCGGTTTCCAAAACGCAGGGGTTCCACGGCAGCCACCAGTCGCGGCCCAGAAACAAAAGGACCCCTCTAAAGGCTACGAGCTCCTCGACCACTTCGGGCCACATCGAGCCCACGTCAAAATACTGGACCGAAATGAACTTATAGACGGTGTGGAAGATAGAAAGGGACTCACGGGCAGCCAGACCGCAGAATGTGCAATGTCCGATCACTTTTTCAAGCGCCTGGCCGCTGCAGCGGCCCCGAGCGAGGAGGCCAGTCAGGCCCCGCTCGAGCTTCCAAAACCGGCTCGAGGTGATCCCCGAGCGGAGGCGGGTGCCGTCGAGCTCCGTGCCGAGAGCCTCACCTGCGCCGCCGTGGGACTCCGACTTGTGGAGCGCCAGGCCGACCGGCTCGAACAGATCGCTCCACTCGGAGACCATCCTGTCACTGAGGTCGGCATCGTCCGAGACGGCGCCAAGGTTGCCCACGCGCACGTAAGCCCCTCCGACCCCGCGTGAGGCGGCCCGCAACACGAACGCCTCGGCCTGGTCCTGAATCAAGGGCTGTTGTCTGCCGGCTGGCATTGCCCTGCACAGGCTGGGGCTTCGACACACCCTGTCCTCATTCGCGGCCTGGGCCAGGTACAGCGACCACGTGAACCCCATCGGAAGCACGGCAAGGTAGGGCCGCACAGGGGCGTCCGGCGGGGCATCCCCAGGGGCGCCGGTCACCTGAATCCCGTCGAACACGTGCTTCGGGACGGCGGGAAGGCAGAAGTAGCGGCCGAGGTCCTCGCGGACGCGCATGCGGTAGAAGCAGTCCTTCACGTCGGTGGTGGCCACGTAGACAGTGAAAGCGTCCAGAAGCCTTTGCCCTTCAACTGACGAGGGCAAGACGCCCGGCGGCAACTCTACCTCGATCCGGCCGAACCCCTCGCTACTGAGGAGCTGCACGCCTGGCGGCGTTCTGAAATGGCCGTTGCTTCGCCTGGCGTCAATTATCATACGTTGAGCCCCGTTCGACTTGGCCACGAAAAACAGGCCCACTGACTCGGCGGGTCTGGTGGTCACTCCTAGAAGTCCCCTTCCAGCGAGATCTCGCAAGAAGGTGCGATAAGATTTAGAATTCCTCTTCAGCACTGGGTCCATGTACAACCGCGGCATGCTGTCGAAGTCCACTGTCTCCGGCTCCAACCTCATTCGCTTGTGATTCTCCTCCAGAAAAGAGCGGCACCCAGGGCTCACGATGTCCTCGATGAAGCGGCAGTCCAGCACGCTATCAGGCAGCGAGACCTTGCCGGGCTGGTAGGAGACGAGGTTCCTTGGGGCAGAGTCCGTCTCGTATACGGACTGCCCCCGGAGCAGCTCCCGCAGGGCTGCCTCCGCCTTCGGCATCACCTCCGGAGCTGCGGCCTGACGCCGATGAGCCTCACGGAGCAGGTGCTGCTGAAGGGCTGCATGCTTGTCCAGGGTTGACGCGCCTGGACTCGGTGAAGCGACCGCGCCCTTGAAGCCCGCCAGCCAGTTCAAGCTGCGGAGGGCGCGATTCACCAATTCCACCTCATGCTGCCGAGCGTGGGTCCTGCGCTGAGACCTGCGTCCCCGAGCGGAGTCGCCCGGCGCCATCATCATCGGCACGGGAAAGAGGTCTCTCTCAAAATCGGACGGCGGCAGCGGCGAGGCGCGGGCCAAGTTGTGGGGCCAGCCAGGGGGGGCCCACTCCCCCGGCTGTGCCTTCTCGGTCATGACTGGACCGGCGGGGGGAGCCCTGGGGTGCGACCTCCGCGGCCACGGCCGCCGCGACCTCGCCCCTTGTCCCCGCCGCCGGCCCCTGTGGTGGCACCCTCTGCGCCATGGTGGGCGGCCACACGAGCATCCACCGCCTCGGCCTTCTTCATAGACTGCTCGACCTCCCAGTCCTCCTTGGCGCGGCGGGAGACGTGGTTCCTCAGCGAGGGCGCCATCAGCTCGTCCGCCTCGCCCAGAGGAGCCAAGTACCTGGCGTTGGCGAACGAGGGGGCACCCGCGCGCTTGTAGGCGTCCACGATCGCGTTGAGCCGGCGCACGATCACCTCCAGGCAGGCCAACCCCCCCAGGTTGACCTGGTCGAAGCACCCGGCCTCTTCGAGCGCCTCCACCAGCGGCCGATGTGCGACGCGGTCGGCGGGGGCGATGTTCTTGTCGCGCAAGAACTTCTCGAGCCAAGCCCGAGGGGTGCCGGCCGTGCGGTACATCATCTTGCAGGTGTGCAATCACGTCAGGCCCCCCTCCAAGCGCTGGTGGCCCCAGTCGTAGCTCAACGACTCGTTCACGGCCTTCCTGAACTCCTTGTATCGCTCACCCTGGTCGTCCCACTCGACCCAGAGAGTGCGGGTGTCATCGCTAGCGGCGTCAGCCAGAGCGACAGCCGACGGAGCACCATCTGGGCCAGGAGGACCCTCCGCGCCACTGGCGGCGGCAGCCTCCAGGGCACCGTCAGCCGGGGGGGAGCCGGGCGCCGCCACAGGAGCTGCCACCTCCAGCAGGCGACTCAGCTCGGCGACACGGCGCGACTTCCAGCTCGCCACGTCGCCTCGCGGCATCAGCTCCAGACGCAGCGCCCTGCCCCGTCGAAGCCAGAGGGCGTCCACCCCAGCGCCGATGAGCGTCTCGCTCGTCGGGTCGACGATCGTGCCGATGTCCAGGTCGGGCACGGGCTCGGCCAGCGCCCAGACGTGTCCCTCAGGAGGGGGCGTGGGTGAGCCTGCGGCGGCGTCAGCCAGGGCGCCTCCCACTCCCCCGTCGGTGACTGGCAACGCCTGCTTCCCGCGGAGGCGGTGCGACGGACGTGCCGGCCCGGCCCATGGGAAGACGTCCCCGCCTTCCAGCAGTCTGCCTGAGGCGAGCTCCACCTGGGCGGGCCCGTCGGCGGCGACCTGCCCGCGGGCCTCCATCGCCACACGGCACTCGTCGGCCAGCTCCACGAGCCTGGCAAGGGATGGCCGCTCGCGGAAGCTGTAGAGCTTCCGGCCGTCAGCAGGCGGGGCACCCCCGTTGGCGAGGCGCTCGCCACCCGAAGGGCCATCAGCAGGTGAGGCCCCCGAGAGCAGCTCCTCCCACAGGTCGCCGTCCGGCGAGAGGACCCAGTAGACGTGAGGGTCCACCAGCTCGCCATCCTCGACACGCCGCGAGGGCCACACCACGACGCGCTCATGGTCCATGATGTCGCCGTCATAGCTCACCCGTGCACGAGCGCCGCTGGGGAGATCAGCGCACCACTCCTCCCCCGCGGGCAAGGGGGGCAGGGCCGCCAGGCGCCCGCGTCGGCGCGACATGGTGTCCTGGTCCCTGGCAGCGCTGGCGGCAGTTGAAGCACCTGTCCGCCAGCGAGATCCACACAGGCGAGAGGAGGCTCACCACCAAGTGCAGGCCCAGCGCCGCGGCGCTCGGTCCGTCGCCCACCTCGGGGCAGACGCAGCCGTCGCCCCCCGGCGGCGGCGGAGGCGGTGGCGACGCGGCCGCCAGCTCCGAGATCGCCCGAGCCGCGGCCTCGGCACGCAGCGCCGCCGACGAGGCATCGATGCAGGCGTCGGCGACCCCGTCGAGCCACACGGGGGTCTCCCTCGGCGGCTCGGGCACGGGCTGGGGTGAGCTCGTCCGCCAGCCAAGACCAGCGATCAGCGCCACGCACAAGGCCGGCAGCGCCGCAGGCACGCCTGAGGAGAGCATGCGGCGTGCCGCCCGTCCTGAAGCCGAAGACAGGCTATGGAGGGGAGAGCGGGGACAAGTGAGAGAAGGCATCCCGATGTTTAAACTTCCTTGGATCGTTTAGCAGGTACTGACATCACCGAATTCAAAAAACCCAAGCTCAAACCGTTCAAGAACATATATGACCCTGACGTGCCCGATGCCCTCCAACATTGTCTCGAGAGGGCCTGAAGATAGCCTCAACAGGGGCTCAAGAGAGCTCTACATGCATCGAACATAGCACAGGTCCGGCCCCACTATTGCGAACAACAAACGCTGCCAACATGCTCCCACATCGAGAGGTCCTCGAAAGCTTGTATGGTTGACTCCTAGGATTGTCCATGCTGCTCGAGAATTTCAGTCTGACGGATACCCACGGCTCCCCGGATGACAAACACTCGTCTGGGCCTCGTTTCTGGATGGGCCGGATGGGGACACACAAACCACCAATACGGCGGGCCTCCTTGCGGGCCCGGAGCCGTGAAGACCGTCGGAGGGTAGTTGATTGAAGTGCCATCTGATTAGTCAGCTGATCTTGAGGGGGAGGGTGGTAGCTCGCGAGTTTCCACCAGACCGTTCGGAAAATAGTCTTGGAGGGCCCGTTCCGCCTCCAAGATGCCCCGAAGACGGCCCACGAATGCCACAAGATGGCACCATAAATCATCAAGATGGTCCAAGATGTTTATGAGAGGGCCCAAGGTGCCCCAAACATTGCCCCCGATTTGGCACTCTATCCCAAGACAGCCGCCAGCATGCTTCCCAAAAGCCCCAAAGCAGTCTCAATCTTGTTCCAAGTGGCCCCGCGGCCTCCCCTGGAGGCCATCGAGCGCCCACATCCTTCAACGACGTCAAGGGAATCGGTGAGGCCTGCCGTCTCGCCCGTTCGCTTCCGTTCGGCCCCTGAGGTCGCAAGATGGCACCATAAAGGACCCGAGAGAGCCCCAGGAAGCCAAGAGAGACCCAAGACTGCCCCAACAACGCCCAAGAGCCCCCCCCAAGAAGGCCCAGAAACGGCCCCAAGAGACCGCCAAGACGGCCCCAGATCGCCCAAAGACGGCCCAGAGAGGCCCCCAAGACAGCCTCCGAAGGCGGCAGATGGGCCACGAGCGCCACAAGACAGCCCAACGTGCCCCCCAAATGCCCAAAGCGCTCCCACAATTGGCACCTAAACGGCATCCAATTCGCACCGGCGTGGCCACCAAGACGCCCCGAGAAAGCCCCACGAGATCCCAATATACGCCAACAGGTCACTTCCTGCTCGTTCGTCTCCGCCTCCTCCTGCTGCTCTTTCACCCCCCTCCGTGGCCGCGAGATCAGCAGGCAAGGTTTCCGAGGGGGGGGGAGGGGGGGGAAACGTGCTCGATGCGGCGGGCTCCCTTTGAGCCCTGAGCGCGGTAAGACCGTGTGAGGGTACTTGTTTTAGGTGCTTGCTAGCTGATTGCAGAACTGTTTTAAGTGCTTGCCAAGCTGATAAATTGGCGATTGGTTTAAGAAGGCGGCGCTTGGCCCCCCTTCCCCTTCCGTCGGTCAGGTTTGAGGGACTCCTCGCGGTGCCCGAGACTGCCCCATAATGCCTCAAGAAAGCCCCCACGATGGCCTCGCTATGGCCTCAAGGTAGCTTGGCTCAAGATTGGCCCGGGACGGCACGCTATTGTACCACGACGGGGCAGAACGGCCCGATGTTGCACAAAGAGGGTCGTCAAGTCGGCCCACGAGCCCCCCAAGGAGGCCCAAGAGGGCCCCGCGATGCCCACCAGGAGGCTCCCGAGATGCCCAACCTCCTGCAAACGTTTGAAGGCATTCAATGGTGTTTGCCTTATCGCCGTATCGCTTCCGATAGAATCGGATGCGCAAATATTGCTCCCAAATGGCTCCACGGAGCCTCAAGAAGAGCTCAAGACTGCCAACACTGCCCCAGAGATGGCCCAAGAACCGACGGCCCCAAGAAGGCCCCAATGCGGCCCAAGAGACCGCCAAGACGGCCACAGAGCGCCCATAAAGTTGGCCCAGAGAAGCCCCCAAGGCAGCTTCGCCCCGAAAGGGCCCCAAGGGACCCCAACATACTCCAAAATGTCACTTCGTGCTTGTACCCCTCCTCATCCTCCTGCTCCTCCTCCTCCTGCTCCTCCTCCTCCTCCTCCTCCTGCTCCTCCGTGGTCGCGGGATTTGCGGACTAGTTCCCGAATGGGGGGCCGCGGTGACTCGCGCTCTACAGGCTCATGATGGCTCCAAGATCGCCGAAGAAGGCCCCAAGACTGTGCCATAACGGCGCCAAGACTGCCGAGACTGACCCCGACAGAGCGACGCTAATTCAGAACCCCCGTCTCACTAAATGTCCCTCAAGGTTGCCGCAAAGATGGCCCAATGAGAGCCCTGACAGGGCCTCAAGAGAACCCCAAAGGCATCAACAATGGCACTGAGAAGGCCCCACTAGTTCCCGAACGCACTTCCAAGAAACTCCTGGACGCCGCATCGAAAGACTCCTTGGCCTCTGCAAGCTGATCCTGGGCGTCGGCTTGACGGCTATCACTGCTTCTCTGGTGAAGAAACTTCGCCTGGGCATAGATTCTGGATGGGTTGGTGGGGACACGGGAAACGTAAATAATTTGCGGATGCGATCCGATCTGCATGTGGGTGTACGTATATGGACTCAAGCCGTACCACACACTGGCTCTCACTGAGACGCATCAACAAGGATCTGTCCGTCGCCCTCGTCCACATCCGTCGCTCTCTCCCTCCTTCTTTCTTTCTTTCTTTATTTCTTTCTGCCTTTTTCTCTCTCTCTCTCTCTCTCTTTCTCCTTGTCTCTTTCAATCTCTCGTTATTCCTCTCTCTCTATACCTCTCTCTCCATCTCTCTGCACCGTGACTCTCATCCTGGCTGGCTGCGTTCTTTAATTCTTTCATCCGAACACCTGAATGCGCACACGAACGTCCCCCAACAAACATGCACAACCTTCAGGGGCGGAACTTCTGAAAATGAGTATTACCAGGAAGGGGCACTAACGCCAGGGTGCCCCTCAACATGACCAATTCTACCGTTACCCTGGTTGGGTTGACCTCGCAGGGTCTCAGCACGTTCCCTTCAGGTGTGCCACCGCGTAGCGTTGGGGACAATCACCCTCTAGTTGAGGTGGCACGTACAGCAGCAGCATGGGCGCCCGAAATCGCCTCAGTAACCATGTGTTGACGAGGATGGATGACCAACATGCGGGGCATCGCCCTTTAAGTGTTAGGGCTCATTGCCCGTTGGTGTGCAATCATAGTCTGTTCCGCATGAACTATATGTGCGCGACAAGGGCAATCTGGTTCTATATGGCATGCGCTGCCAGAGCAGATATGATAATGACATGTGGTTGGCTGTGTGCATGCCACCATACCAACACAAAATCCTTTCCTTCACCAGCTCAGAAGAAAGTATGTGGTGAAGAGGAGACGCTCTCGAGTGATTATGGATGCAAGCCTCCAGCGTAAAGACACTGATACCGAACTATTGCACACGACCGCTTCATCTACGAACGAACTGCCTCGTGGCCCCCCCATTTACCAAAACATTACCGCATATCGATTCGATGGCCCCACCTCCACCCCTTTGAAGCGCACAGGCCAGATTGCGCATATGGCCGCATCTGCGTTCTGGCGACTGCGCATTCGCGCCCACATGCGGATATAGTCTACGTGTGCACGTGCACGCGCACAAAACAAGTTCATCTCATTCAGACAGTAAAACTCCGAAACATCCCCCGCACCGCGAAATTTGAAACTGATGTTCCTCAGAAGTTCTGAGCCCCGGACTAAAGATACCCCCCAGACAACAGATACCCGCTCCGTGACTACTGGTACCCCGCACTCCCCGAACTACACATGCCCAACCACAGACTACATATACCCTACCCACAGGCTGCAGGTACCCCCAGGACAACCCGAGGGAGAATGGGAAGATGATCAAGGGAATGTAAGAGAGAGGGAACGAGAGACATAGAGAGGTATACATGTAGGTACTACAGACAAACAAATGTACAGATGTACACCTATATCGGAGATGAGCGATAGTGAGAGAGAGAGAGAGAGAGAACGAGGTAAAGATAGAGAAAGCCACTCAAAGTGGTCGCTGGAACCTAGTGCCGTAACGCTCGCTGTGCCTGCGGGGGTATCACGAAGTTCCACGTAAATGGCTTTTCACGGGCCTGGATGTTCGAAAGGGAGGCGCCACGCACGCGGGGAATCACGCACGTGGGGTTCACGCATTCGGGCTTTCACTCAGGTGGGGTTTCTCACGCATGGTTTTTTCACGTCCGCGAGGTTCCACGCGCATGGGGTCAACGCGCCTGGGGCTCAACATGCGTGGGCTGCCATGCGCGTGGTGCTCCACGCCCTGCATCTGTTCGGGGCCTCGGCGCCCTTCTTCTTCTTCTTCTTCTTCCAGCCAGGGCATGCCCGAACCAAAGGTTCCCCCCAGTGACAATGCCGCCCACCGCCCCCCCCCGAACCAGAAGCCGAAATCTGAGGAGCAAGCCTCCTCCTTCTCCTCCTCCTCCTCCTCCTCCTCCTCCTTTTCCTCCTCCTCCTCCGTCTTCTTTCGAAGCCTTCACTGTAGCGCAGCGGCACCGCCTGCTGACAGCCAGTGGGCTTCACGCTGGGACGCCCGATGCGACTCAGACCATGCGCGGCCTTCATCTTCCAGAACAATTGCAACTTCCGAGCCGACAACTGGGCCCTTCCTGAGTCCTTATTTCGAAGCCTTGGCTGTATCGCAGCAGCACTGCCTGCTGACAGCCAAAGGGTTTCACGCTTGGACGTCTGGTGTGACTCGGACCATGCGCGGCCTTTATCCCACAGAACAGTTGCGACGTCAGAGCGTCTGAGAGAGCGTGAGCTGGACACCGCCACTGAGCATGCCCAAGACTAACATACAGATGCTCCTTTCTCGACGCGCGGTAACATACACGGTGAAGCCGCTGCTACCACTGACTTGCTCTATCAATCAGCTTTCTTCCGCAGGCCACTAGCGCGTTCGCCTTATCTTCCAGCCACGACGCTGCCTTGCCTGGTACTGTCCATTTTCGGCGCGCCAGCAAAATTATGCAAGGTTTTTATTAAGCGGTTTGTTTCCTTGTGGAACTCCTACCTGATCAGGGGCTGCGTAATTAGTGACAGAGGAATCTCCGTCCAGCGCCCAGTGACACTTGTCAGGCAGAGGGATATCCGACCAGCGCAGGAGGAAGGCGCTAGCGTCACGATGCTTCCAGCAGTCACTTCTCCATCCCCTTTCGGTCCTTCTTGGATTGTTCTCTTCGGGCCCCGCAGGGCTCGGATTGTGCTCTTCTGACAGCAGGTCGGCTGGGACCTCCGAGTCCTGCTGGCTGGGTGACCCCGCCACGCCGCCGAGCGCAGACACGCGGCGACGAGTCGCTCCTTGAGCAGCCCGCTGGCAGGCAAATCCGCCAGGCCTCGCGCGGCCTGCTCGCAGACGAGAGCCCTGATACGAAATGGGGTCACCACGGGCGCCTTTGCCCCTTGTTCGGGCTCCAGGACCCTCATAGATCGATTGGGCTCGGGAGATGCCGCAGACAGATTAGGCAGCGCGCCCAAGGAGGAAGTGAGAAGGGGCGGGCCTTCTGATCAAGCTCTGATGTTCACTGGCCTTTCGAGCCGTGATCTAAGCCTTCCCCGGAGACACCGAAAACTTCTCAGAAGGCCAGGGGGCTTCAGAGAGGCCCCGCTGCCTTCTGAGAAGGCCTCCCCCTTCCCAATTCATCCCCTCGCTCGCCGCCGAGAGACGGGGTCCAGGGGCTCCAGCCATGATGTTTCGCGCTGTTGCAACTTATTCGCAACGCCGGATTTTCCTGGGGAGCGCAGGGAGCGCATGCCAAGGCGGCAAAGTGCTTGCCAAACTCAGGCTGCAGGCTGGCACGCACGGGCAGCACAAGCTTCGGCCGCAGTGGCCACACTTGGCAGCGAGCCGAGGGTGGAAGTGAGAGGGGGCAGGCCTTCTCAGAAGTTATCTTCCCTCGCGCCTTCTGGTGAGTTGTCTGAGCCTTCTCTGAAGGCGCAGACAACTGCTCAGACGGCCGGAGGGTTTCTGAAGGCCCCCGCTGCCTTCTGAGACGGCCTGCCCCTTCTCCCTTCCCCCCGCAGGCGCGCCAGCGACGCACTGCGTGTGGCGGCGCAGTTGCGCTCACGAGGTGCGCGCTGGCATGCCCAGCGGCACGAGCCTGCACCAAGACGTCCGGGGAGCAGGGGGGCAGGAGCACCGCCGGGTCCCCCACCTCGAGGCGGACAAGCTGGCGCCGATGTGGGCGCCTGCTCGCCGCAGTCTGAGGATGGCACGGCAAACCCGCCTTCTCGTCTCAGGGCGGCCAAAACCAACCATCCGAAGTCTATGTGAGGAGGCTGGGCCGTCCACCCCCCGAACTGCCTGGAGCCAGCATGGGCTGACCTGTTCGTTCCCCCTTCCTTCCACCCATGCCGATGTTTCCTCGCCTTGAGATGGCTGCAGGATGCAAGAAGCTTACCCCCCCTCCCACTGAAAAGAATAATAACGAGCTGATCAATTCACACATGAACGGATGCTTGGCACTCGACACCCATCTCCGTCAAAACGACTCATAGCTGATTTGAAGAGTACGCGCTCACAATTGCACGTGCACGTCAATCATAGTTAGAGCGTCGGAATGCGATCATTAAGGCTCAAGCCCTTTGAGCAGGTCGGTCCACAACAGCAGCCGGCCGTCCTCCTCGACTTGATCCCAGACATCTTTCCACCTGCGGAGTGGATTGGACGGGGCACGTGCGGAGCTTCTCGCAATACTGACAGCGCAGACGGAGCAGAGATGTGGGGCAGAGCGGTAGCACGAGAACCGGCGCTTCAAAGATGCGGCCATGAAGGATGGCGCACGAAAGGGCGTCGGGCCGACGCCCGACCGCAGAACGGGAAGAGGGGCGGACGCGTGTCCCCACCAACGCCCGCCAGATTCGGGGATGGACAGACCTCCCTTTAGTAAAACGTGGTTTAGTGAAAACGACCTGAGGCCCAAACCTGGCGGGCGCAGGCCTGGGAAATAACGGCCACGGCGCCCTCTCGAGAACCGAAAACGGACAATTCACTAATCGACGTGTCACTGTTGGGGGTTCTGTCCACCCCCGCCAGATGGACACTTTCCCCAGCCACTCCGGCGCTGTGGCCGGGAAGGCGGTGGGAGGGCGGAAGAGGAGCAAGAGGTTGAACCAGAGGAGTCTGGCCGTTTCTGGATTCGATGTCTTTTCTCTTCTCTTGGCGGCGAACCTCCGTGGCACTTCGCCGGGTCGGCCCCCATAGCCCCCCCTGGCGAACCTCCGTGGCACTCCGCCGAGTCGGCCCCCACAGCCCCCCCTCCGTGGTCATTTGGCGTACTGCACTGATGTCCTGTTGAGCTTTGGCAACAGGGTGGGAGGAAGGGCTCGCGAAGCGAATCACATCCCCCTTGGTCATAATATACAACAGCACCCGCCCCCTTGCTGGCGGGGGCAGGAATTCGTTACTTTTCCATTCTCCTTCGCCTCCTCCTGTCTCTCTCGAAAGCGCTCTTTCCCAGACATCCTGTACCTGGTAGGGGCCCTGGCAGGAGACACGCTCTTCCAGACACCCCGTACTTCGGGTTGTACGCTGCCATGACCATTTCGGAAGCGCATTCTGTCTTCGTCAACGGCACATCCGTTGATTGGGAGTGTCCGAATCGATCCTTCAACGGCCAGACTGGGAACTGTCCTGCCTCCAGTCCTGAGGAGATGACGCCTCATCATGTTTCCCTGAGCCCCCTGGTCGCATTCCTGGAACTGTCACCCAGTTCAGCCCATGCCAGGCGTCAACACATCCATGAGAAGAATCGAAAGGCTCGTAGTCGAGCCATTTCGGCTTGCAATATCGATAATCGTCTGTAGAGTTTGACAGATGCTCGCGAGGGTACACTCAACGGGGAAATTTGGCAATGCCGGTAATCCAAAGCATGGCAACTCATGCAGACTCACATCATGACACGTGCCGTGCGCTGTGCAAGGTGGACCGATAACAACGCTTCCAGCTGCAATTGGGGAACCCGAAGATACCGATGCCGCGACTCCCAGGACCTCTCCCGTGGTGCGTTCTGGCCAGAATTTCGAAGTTAATCCAGCCGTGGCGGCGAGGGCCTCCCTGGCGGCCCCACAAGGCGAAACCGAGGCAAGGGTAGCGGTAGCGGTACCTTCTCCGACTCTGAGTAGCGGCAGGCGCCCGTGCACAAATGCCCATGACCAATGCAGCCTGGCAGCCTCCGACTGACCAGCCCATCCAACGCGCCAGCGCCGGCCCCCTGCGCAGGGCTCGGACTAGAGCCGCCCCGCACACGAGCCCCGCGAGCACAGGGCCCAGGGCACGAGGCGCAACTGCCATGAAGGAACAGAGCACGGCATACATGATGGGCCAGTTTTCCACCACCACTACCATAGGTCGGACGGGGGAGAAGGAAGGCTGGGGAGGTCCGCCTCCTCCTCCTCCTCCTCCTCCTCCTCCTCCTCCTCCTCCTCCTCCCTCTCCTACCTATGGTAGCGGTGGTGGAAAATCGGCCCATCAATACACATAGGGCCTCAAGACAACTCCACCGCAGAAGTGTGGACGAGATGGCTGCTGGTGCAGGCGGGCAGGGCGTCCAAACTGTTACGCAACGGGGGGGGCGAGACCAGCAGGGCGTGGAACGGATCATACCCCTATCGCCCTTGCGCAGCATCATTTGCGATGGTTATCCACATGAGCTTTCGGAGGTCCGCGCGGATTTGTTGGATCTGAGATGGAGTCCCCTCCCTGGCGCGCGGAACGCGCCAGGGACAGCGCCAGAGGCGCCGTCAGGGGGGCCCAACTCGGATCGCACAAATCCGCACGAACCTCCGAAAGTTTCTGTCGATGCTGCTGTTCCTTTCTCGATCCCAGGCGCTGGCGCGAGCAGTGCCCACATCGAGCCGAGGACGTCCCCCCGTCACTCGGCACAGCCGACGGCGAGGTCTGCCGCGAGCAGCAGGTGGTCCGACGGCTCCTCCGCCGAAGGGAACGCGTCGCTGTCCGCGAACTGCGCGGCACAGGGGAGATCCACCGCGCCCATCACCCGGATGTCGTCACCCACAAAGATGTAGTCCAGCGTGCCGACGAACGGGCTCTCGGCGTCGGCGCGCCAGGACCTGATGGTGAACGCGGGCTCGGCGCCGTGGCCCTCCTGATAAGCGCTCCGCAGGCGCTGCCGAGGGGAAGCGCCCTCCTCCGCCGAGGGAGTGGACCCGCCCGCGGGCAGGGGTTCTGGCACAATCTGGCCCAGGGCCACCGAGCCCTCCAGCAGGCTGTGCGCTGGGGCGCCCGGCTGCACGTTGAAGTCGCCCGCGAGCACCAGGGGTTGCTCCCCCGCGAACCGGCGCGCCAGGCCTGCCACTGCCGCGGCGTGCACGGCCATCACCTCGGGGGTTGTTAAAGGTTACCCTGGCTCAAGGTGCCCCCAGATTTTCGCTCCATCTTGGAGCCCCTGGGCCCCTTGGGCCCCGTGAGAGGTGCTCTGGAGGGCGTTGGGGCTCCGAAGGGATCTCGGGCCGGGCTGGGCCAGCGGCACTTCTAGCAGCTACAGCAACATCCGATCGCCTGCTCGAGCAGCGCGCTGCCGAACAGCGCCGGCATGTGGTACGTGGCGACGCAGACCTGCTGGCCGGAGCAGCGGAAGCGCAGGCGCGCTGCCGCGTAGCGGTTCGGCCGGCGGCGCGCGATCGTCCACGGGTCCACCTCGGGCGCAGTGCCGCCGAGGACTGCAGCCGCGCGACCCTTGAGCCAAGACCACCAAGACGGCGGCGGGGCTGGCGCGGTGGACTGTCCAGGCTCGACCACGCGGCGGACTTCGGCGTCCTGGAGGTCGAACGCGCTGTTGCTCCAGACGAGACAGACTCCCATGGGGTCGTACGCGTACCAGGGCGTCGGCGCGTAGATCAGGTGGTAGCCTCTGGGCTGGAAGTGGGCGTGCAGGCGGCAAGCCCAGGCCTCGTTCACCTCCTGCAGACATAGCACTGTGGCGTAGGGGCTGGCTGCTATCGCCCGGTCCAGGCGCTCCAGGATGCGCGTCAGACGCAACCGCTCGTCGATCTGCGCGGGATCACAATGTGGATACGAATGCGAAGTGCAACAAACACAACACAGAAAACCAAACAAGTCACAAAACACAAAATGAAAACGAAAACAACACAATCAAAACAAAGACAAACACAAAAGAAAGCACCCCCAGCATACAACAATCAATAACCACGATATACGAATGCGAAGTGCACAGGCTCGGGTTCAGCACATTGTAGGTCACCACCCGGAAGCGACTGCCGGGCCCAGCTTGCGAGCTGAGCTCGCGCCCGCCCGAGGGCAACGCAGCGGCCGAGCGGTGAGGCCCGCGCGGAGGCCAGGCTCGCCATGCCAGTGGACGTACTCGACGCAGCTCCCTATGAAGTGGGCCCATTTTGAAATCATCACAAATGCCTCGGCCCGAAACAGCAGAAGTTACGGCGGAGGCTCCGGGGGTGCCCACGGGTGTCATCGCTGAGGGGCTCACCACCGGACTCACCACCTCCTCCAGGACATGGACCCTCCTGGACTCCCCCCTAGAATCCCCAAGAACTCCCCAAACACGCCCCAGAAACGTCCAGGCCTCCTCTATCCTCGACCCTCCTTCCTCCACGACCCGCTGTTTCTAGAAGGAAGGAGGTGGTGCCCCCCTACTGGTGAACCCCCCTTGGGCCCCCCCGTTCATAGGGCCACTCGGCTTTCGGGCCTCAGGTCTCCGACGGCCGTTCGGGACGACCTGGGCACCCACGGAGCACTCTCGGCCAGCCGCAGCGCTGCCGGAACTCATCCCGAGGCACGAGAACCGATGAGAGAACCGACGAAGAGGCCCGAAAATAGCCAACACCTCCAAACCGAGAACCTCCAACCTCGGCGCCGAGCTCCGTCCGACTCCGACCAGATCCGGCCCTTCCCAGAGAGCATGGCTCGATCCCCTCTCGCGGGGCGCCGCGCGACGGCAGGAGCACGGCGGAGAGCCGGGCGCGCCTGCTCTGGGCCACCTCCCTCTCGAGGTCCCTCATGAGCTGGGCGGCGCGCGCCACGCCCTTGAGGATCCTGGGAAGGCCAGGGAGGGGGCGGGCCCTGATCCCCTGGCGTTCGGTCGGGCATGTCCTCCTACAGGCTGATTTTGGGCGAAAGAAAAATCAAAAAAGAAGTATCCGGGCGGAAGACCCAACCATGCGCAATTGTGAATACCGCGTTGTGTGTACAGTACCGCTTTCGGTGGAGCCCCATCTGGGGCCACGAACCGTGTGAGGGGTGCGCCACAATGGGCGTCGGGCGCATGTGGCCTGTGCCACTGGGGCATTCGGTGGAGCTCCCTGTGGGGCCACGATCCGTGTAGGGGTGCGCCGAAATTGGCGGCGTTGACGCATGCGGACCCTGCCACTGGAGCCTTCGGTGGAGCCTTCGGTGGAGCCTTCGGTGGAGCTCCCTGTGTGGCCACGAACCGTGTGAGCGGTGTGCCTAAAGGGGTGTCGGTCACCGAAAGCGGACCCTGCCACTGGGGCCTTCGGTGGAGCTCCCTGTTGGGCCACGAGCCGTGTGAGGGGTGTACCACAATGAATGGCGGCCTCCGCATGCGGGCCCTACCCCTGGGGCCTTCTGTGGAGCTCCCTGTGGGGCCACGAATCGTGTGAGGGGTGTGCCAAAATGGGCTTGGGCCTTCGGTGGAGCTCCCTGTGGGGCCACAAACCGTGTGGGGTATGCCGAAATGGATGGCGGTCCCCGCATGCGGACCCTGCCTCTGGGGCCTTCGGTGGAGCTCCCCATGTAGCCACGAACAGTGTGAAGGGTGTGCAAAAATGGATGGCGGTCCCCGCATGCGGACCCTGCCGCTGGGACCTTCGGTGGAGCTCCCTGTGTGGCCACGAACCGTGTGAGGGGTGTACCAAAATGGGTGGCGGTCCCCGCATGCGGACCCTGCCACTGGGGCCGTCGGTGGAGCTCCCCATGGGGCCACGAACCGTGTGAGGGGTGTGCCAGACAGATTCGGATGGGCATGCGGAGAGCAGAGGCAAGGGATGGGAGGAGGGAGAAGGGGGAGGGGGCAGCGGGAGGTGAGGTGAGGTGAAGTGAGGCAAGGTAAGGTGAGGTGACGCGGGGCGCTGTCGCTTCAAAACGAAGACCCAACACCACAGGATTTTCGGGAACCAAAAACATGCTCCGAAACATACACTCATAACTTGTCTTAAGAAATTATTTGTTAAGAAATGGAGACCCAGCTTTGGTGAATTTCTTAACCCCGGTGCGAGACCCAGCTTTCGCCGCCGAATTTCTTAACGATTCGGCTGAAGGGTTGTGCTGAGGGGTTGTGCTGAGGGGCTGTGCTGAGGGGTTGTGCTGTGGGGTTGCGCTGAGGGGTTGTGCTGAGGGGTTGTGCTGAGGGGTTGTGCTGAGGGGTTGTGCTGGGGTGTTGAACTGAGGGGTTGTGCTGGAGGGTAGTGCTGACGGGTTGTGCTGAGGAGTGGGGCTGAAGGGTTGTGCTGAGGGGTTGTGCTGAGGGGTTGTGATGAGGGGTTGTGCTGCGGTTGTGCGAGGGTTGTGCTGGGGGTTGTGCTGAGGGTTGTGCTGGGGGGGGTGGCTGGGGGTTGTTTCTGAGAGGCCTTGCTGAGGGTTGTGCTGAGTGTTGTGCTGTGGTGTTGTTGCTGAGGGGTTGGCTGGGGTTTGTTCTGAGGTGTGCTGGGGGTTGTGCTGAGGTTGTTGCCTGAGGGGGTGTGCTGGGGGGTGTGCCGAGGGGTTGTGGCTGAGGGGTTTGTGCTGAGGTTGTGCTGAGGGGTTTGTGCGGAAGAGTTTGTGCTGAGGCGTTGTGCTGGGGGGCTGTGCTGGGGGGCCGTGCTGAGGGTTGTGCAGGGGGGTTGTGCTGGGAGGTTGTGCGGTGGGGTTGTGCTGGGGGGCTTGCTGGGGGGTTGTGCTGGGGGGTTGTGGGGGGTTGTGCTGGGGGGTTTGTGCTGGGAGGGTTATGCCGGGGGGTCGTGCTGAGGGATGTGCTGAGGGGTTGTGCTGGGGGGCTGCGATGGGGGTAGTGCTGACGGTTTGCTGAGGGGTTGTCCTGAGGTTGGCGGGGGGGTTTTGCTTGAAGGGGTTGTTGCTGAGGATTTGTGCTGAGGGTTTGGCTGGGAGGTCATGCTGATGGGTTGTGCTGAGGGGTTGTGCTGGGGGGCAGCACAACCTCCAGCACCCCTCCAGCACAACCTCCCACACGACCTCCAGCACAACCCCCGAGCACAACCTCAGCACAACCTCCATCACAACCCCCCAGCACAATCCCCAGCACAACCACCAGCACAATCTCCATCACAACCTCCAGCACAACCTCCAGCACAACCCCACGCAACCTCCTGCACACACTCAAACGCAACCTCCGCACACCTCCAGCACAACATCCGCACAACCTCTACTGCAACACCTCCAGCACAACCTCCAGCCAGCCCACCTCCACACAACCTTCGCACAACCTCCACACAACATCCAGCACAACCCCAGCACAACCTCCAGCACAACCTCCAGCACAACCTCCAGCACAACCACCAGCACCACTTCTAGCACCACCTCCAGCACCACCTCCACCACATCCAGGAGGTTGTGCTGGAGGATGCGCTGGAGGTTGTGCTGGAGGTTGTGCTGGAAGATGCGCTGGAGGTTGTGCTGGATGTTGTGCTGGAGGTTGTGCTGGAGGTTGTGCTGGAGGTTGTGCTGGAGTGTGTGCTGGAGGTGGAGGTTTTGCTGGAGATTTGCGCTGCGGTTTGCAGGAGGTTGTGCTTGAGGTTGTGCTTGGAGGTTGTGTTGAGTTTTGCTGGAGGTTTGTGCTGGCGGTTGTGCTGCATGGTTGTGCTGGAGGGTTGCCGTAGGATGCGCTGAGGTTGTGGCTGGAGGTCGTGCTGAGGTCGTGCCTGGAGGTTGTTCTGGAGGTTGTGCTGGAGGTTGTGCTGGAGGTTGTGCTGGAGGTTGTGCTGAAGGTTGTGCTGGAGGTGGTGCTGGAGGTTGTGCTGGAGGTTGTGCAGGAGTTTGTGCAGGAGGTTGTGGTGGAGGTTGTGCTGGAGGTTGTGTTGGAGGTTGTGCAGGAGGTTGTGCTGGAGGTTGTGCTGGAGGTTGTGCTGGAGGTTGTGCTGGTGGTTGTGCTGGGGGATTGTGCTGGGGGGGTGTGATGGAGGTTGTGCTGAGGGGTTGTGCTGGGGGGTTGTGCTGGAGGTCGTGCTGGAGGTTGTGCTGGAGGTTGTGCTGGAGGTTGTGCTGGAGGTTGTGCTGGTGGTTGTGCTGCAGGTTGTGCTGGAGGTTGTGCTGGAGGATGCGCTGGAGGTTGTGCTGGAGGTCGTGCTGGAGGTCGTGCTGGAGGTTGTGCAGGAGGTTGTGCTGGAGGTCGTGCTGGAGGTTGTGCTGGAGGTTGTGCTGGAGTGTGTGCTGGAGGTTGTGCTGGAGGTTGTGTAGTAGGTTGTGCTGGAGGTTGTGCTGGAGGTTGTGCTGGCGGTTGTGCTGGAGGCTGTGCTGGAGGTTGTGCTGGAGGTTGTGTTGGAGGTTGTGCAGGAGGTTGTGCTGGAGGTTGTGCTGGAGGTTGTGTTGGAGATTGTGTTGGTGGTTGTGCTGGAGGTTGTGCTGGCGGTTGTGCTGGAGGTGGTGCTGGAGGTTGTGCTGGAGGTTGTGCAGGAGGTTGTGCAGGAGGTTGTGCTGGAAGTTGTGCTGGAGGTTGTGCTGGAGGTTGTGCTGGTGGTTGTGCTGGAGGTTGTGCTGGAGGCTGTGCTGGAGATTGTGCTGGTGGTTGTGCTGGGGGAATTGTGGCTGGGGGGTTGTGATGGAGGTTGTGCTGAGGGTTGTGCTGGGGGGTTGTGCTGGAGGTCGTGCTGGAGTTGTGCTGGGAGTTGTGCTGGGAGGTTGTGCTGGAAGGTTGTGCCTTGAGGTTGTGCTGGTGGTTGTGCTGCAGTGTTGTGCTTGGGGGTTGTGCTGGAGCATGCGCTGGAGGTTGTGCTGGAGGTCCGTGCTGGGTCGTGCTGGAGGTTGGTGCAGGAGGTTGTGCTGGAGGTTGTGCTTGGAGTTTGTGCTGAGAGGGGCTGGGAGAGGTGTGCCTGGAGGTTGTGCCTGGAGTTGTGTTGTAGGTTGTGCTGGAAGGTTGTGCTGGAGGGTGTGCTGGCGGTTGTGCTGGAGGTTGTGCTGGAGGTTGTGCTGGAGGTTGTTGTTGGAGGTTGTCAGGAGGTTGTGCTGGATTTGTCTGGAGGTTTGCCTGGAGGTTTTGCTGGAGATTGTGCTGGTGTTGTCTGAGTTGTGTTGGGAGATGTTTGCTGGAGGGCGTGCTGGAGGTTGTGCTGGAGGTTGTGTTTGGCGGTTGTGCTGGAGTTGTGCTGGAGGTTTGGCTGGAGGTTGTGCTGGAGGTTGTTGCTGGAGGTTGCGATGGTGGTTTGTGCTGGAGGTTGTGCTGGAGGTTGTGCTGGAGGGGGGGTTCTGAGGTTGTGCTGGAGGTTGTGTTTGTTAGGTTGTGCTGGAGGTTGTGCTGGAGGTGATGCTGGAGGTTGTGCTGGCGGTTGTGCTGGAGGTTGTGCTGGAGGTTGTGCTGGAGGATGCGCTGGAGGTTGTGCTGGAGGTCGTGCTGGAGGTCGTGCTGGAGGTTGTGCAGGAGGTTGTGCTGGAGGTTGTGCTGGCGGTTGTGCTGGAGGTTGTGCTGGAGGTTGTGCTGGAGGTTGTGTTGGAGGTTGTGCAGGAGGTTGTGCTGGATGTTGTGGTGGAGGTTGTGCTGGAGGTTGTGCTGGTGGTTGTGCTAGAGGTTGTGCTGGCGGTTGTGCTGGAGGTTGTGCTGGAGGTTGTGCTGGAGGATGTGCTGGAGGTTGGCTGGAGGTTGTGCTGGAGGTTGTGCTGGAGGTGATGCTGGAGGTTGTGCTGGCGGTTGTGCTGGAGGTTGTGCTGGAGGTTGTGCTGGAGGATGCGCTGGAGGTTGTGCTGGAGGTCGTGCTGAGGTCGTGCTGGAGGTTGTGCAGGAGGTTGTGCTGGAGGTTGTGCTGGAGGTTGTGCTGGAGGTTGTGCTGGAGGTTGTGCTGCAGGAGGTTGTGCTGGAGGTTGTGCTGGAGGTT